CTCAATTCAAAAAGGCGAGGCGCGCCTTTTGTTGCCTTTTGCTGTCCAAAACACTGCCTCTACCAGTTGCTCCCTGAGCTCCATGTGTACTAAAAAGCCTACTCCATTCAATTCAGTGACATTAATAATTTGCAAGTCATCTGAATGGTGGCATTTGTGATCCATAAATTAATAGTTAGCAGTTCCATTCCAGTTTCAATGAACTCAGATAATTAAGAATAAGATTTTTAGTTTCTCCTCATTTCATCTACTAGTTCCCAAATAGAAAGAAATACTGCAAAGAAGAAGGTACTCTAATGGAGAAATCTATATTGCAATTAATGGGGAGTATATTCAGTATAGTTGTTTGAATTGGAGAAAGTCATTACTTGACGTGTGTATGTTCTCGGCTAGTTTCTTAGATATGTTGGGTCATCAAACATCTTATGAATGTGATTCAAAACCTTAGGCGTTGTTTGGTACACTGACTAAAGTATCCCGGGATTATAGTCGTTGATTGTAATCCCTGGACTAATTTATCTCTCCCACCCAGGTGGGATAAAATAATTCCAAGTTGGATGAGATAAGATGGAATATCTAGGATTTGGTTTGGGATTAGATTTATACTGTATTTGGTTGATAGTATAAAAACTAATCTCAAACTTAATCTTGGGATATCCCACTTTATCTCTCATACCAACGATCCCTTAGGGTACAAACTAATGGATACACGGCTCAATATCCTATTGTAATAGAGATTAAGGGATCGTTTGATAGAGTGTATAAGAATAATGTTAAATAGAGTGTATTAGTAATACTTGCATTAATAATGTTTGTATTAGTAATACTTACATTAATTATGCATAAGCTATTTCTTATACATTGTTTGGTCTAGTGTATTGAAAATAGTATGCATTGCATAAAAATATTTATTTACAAAGATATCCTTCACAATTATGATGGAAAAGATGTAAAAAAGATTTTGAGGGACAATGAAGTCTTAAACCACGTTAATACATGCATTAAAACCCCTTGCATTACTAATACCAAAAAACGCATGGTATTAGGAATACACAAATTAGGGGTCGTTTGGTAGAGTGTATAAGAATAATGCAAAATGTGGTGCATTAGTTATGCAAGCATTATTTCTTATATATTGTTTGGTTCGGTATATTAGAAATAATAAATCTTGCATAATCTCTATTAAAAAATATATGTTTACAAATATACCCTTCACACTTTATTTATTTGTACACTTCCTTTGCAACAAAGATCTTAGCTAAAACATCAAAAAAAGTTCTTTGCTAAAATATCTTTAACTCTTCTTTTTCTTTTTTTTCCCCAAAAAGAAGATTAAATAGTTGTACTATTGTGACAAAAAGAATGTGGAAAGTTGGCAAATAATTTTTTTAATCAAATTTATTGTCACAATATTATAAAAAATTATTTAATTATATTGAAATTAGATTTTTTTTTTTTTAAAAAAAAAGATATTTAAGAGGTCATAAAGCATATTAAGACACCAAAAAAATAAAAGACACGTAAAAACAAATCAATATAAAAATAAAAACTTATGACAACAAAGAAAATGAAAAGGCTTCAAGGGTAGTTTTGTAATTATTTAATCTAATGCAAGTGTTAAAGTGTTGTGCATTACTAATACCTAGAATTCCTTGGTATTAGTAATACACAACTTAATACACAATAGAGTGTATACCTAATGCTTGCATTAGTTATACATGACATGAAAAAGTGTACCAAACAAGGTACTACTAATACACACCTAATGCATGCATTATAATGTTTGGTAGAGTGTATTAGAGAAACTAATGTTTGCATTAGCTTGATGTATTAGTAGTACCTTATTTGGTACACTTTTCTAACTCATGCATAACTAATGCTTGTATTAGTAACACACGCTATTGTGTATTGAAGAGTGTATTACTAATACCACCTATTTCTATGCATTAGTAATGTAATGGGTTCTAATGCATGCATTAGCATTATTAAAGACAAATTAGAACCCATTGCACTACTAATGCATAGAAATAGGTGGTATTTTGGTAAACAATTTTTTTTCTAAAAAAATTATGTAATGCATAATAGTTTTAGTACACCAAACCAAACACGGTATAAAAAAATCGTATCATAACTAATGCAAGCATTACTAATACACTATTTTGCATTATTCTTATACACTCTACCAAACGACCCCTTAGTGTATAAATAATGCAAGCATTAATTATACATAGCATGAAAAAGTATACTGAACAAGGTATTACTAATGCAAAGAGTTAATGCATGCATTATATTGCTAATACACTCTACCAAACGACCCCAAATTGTGTTTAGTTGTGTTCCTCCCTCTAATTCCCCACTTTGGATCTTTCTTCCATCTCCTTGCACTCTCTCCCACACCTCTTGTTTTATTAATTTTAATTCATATATTATCCCTTCTGAAATGAACTGTACTTTAGTGTTGAAAAGAAACATATAGAACAGGGGGTAAATCATTAAAAATAAAAGGGCAGGGTGCAAATTCAAACTTTGTGCACATGTTATTGGTGCAAAATGCAAAGAACTCAGTTTTGTCTGATCACATGCTATATTGCTGCCTAAGGTTTGTTTTCTATCATTTACCTTCTGAATTTGTAGTTTATGTTGTTAAGTCTTTACATCTTGCACCTATTGAATACCTGTTGAAAACTTGAGCAATTTGGGAACCAGTATTTTGTCTTCTGTTGTACTAGTTCCTGCAATCAATAAGTGATGCATTTTGATGTAGCACTGTTCATTTTTTAGCTACAGATATTTCGGTAGATAGAAATAATGGGAGCAGTTTGTTTGAACCTGTAGACTCAAAAGAATTAAGCAATCAGGAGACTGCAACAATTTCAAATACTTTGGTTGAAGTTATGGAATCGGGAGAATCACGCCATATAAAGAGTACAACAATGATGAACAGACGCAAGAAGTCAAATAGAAACGGAACTTCAAATATGAAGGAAGTTAAGGACCAAAAAGTAGTGAATCCGAAGGAGGGTATGAAATCAGGAAATGATACTGACTTTTGGTGGTTCAGTCTTCCTTATGTTCTTGTATGTATATGGGATTTATGTCCACCTCCTACTTGTTTGTTTTCGACAGCTTGCATTCCTACTATACATGTTTTCTTTTGTGGCTGTTTTACTTTCTGATTGCATCTAAGCAGCAAACTTGGTGCTGTCAAAAGGAAAAAAATGATTGAGCCCTGCTTATGTACACAAAAGATGATGATTCCAAGGAAGAAGCTAATATATGGAACTGAAATCAAGACTAATGTTATTGCAGTTAACTTGCACTAGGGATCATTGCCTTGTCATTATTTTTATAAAGAGAGTCATTGTCTTATCGTGTGAGAAATATTAGTCAGATTTTATATAGCTTTGTGCTAGAACTGTTTATCCAGCCATTTGTGTTTTCCTTGCAAATTGCATCACTGTACCCTTCTCTTTGGTTGTTGCTCTCCTATAAAATGTTTTTGTTTATACTTCATCGATATCCCTTGCTGAGACACTTGATTATCTGTGCTGAGATTAGAAAGCCTTTTAGTTGGGTATTGCTGGCATCTGGTTGTTTAAGTACCAGTCATTTAGGTTAGCAACATAGGTATTTTGGCAAATGTCTTGAGTGATTCATTGACCTTATATTGGATATTCACAACAATATTTATATATTAACGGGTTATTGTGTGGACACATCTTAATCATCCAATGTCACAATGGATATGTATTTGCTTAAATTTCCTATCTGATTCCATTTTTCGGAAGCAACCTCTCTACCTACATCCATGAGGTAATGGTAAAGTCTGCGCACATTTTGCCTTCCCCAGACCCCACTTGTGGTATTTCACTGGGCATGCTGTTGTTGTTGGCTCTAGCTTCATGCTCCTGTCACTAAGTGCATTGTTCTATGCAGGCTATACGCATGCGGAGAGGTCATGATGATGAAGGACCAGAAGGATTATTTACTTTAAGAAGTAGCTCTCAAGTGAATGGTAGCTTATCTCATACAGTCGCCTTTGAAGATCGTGGTGATGCCACCAATTTTTGTTATCTCTTACAGTCCTTCTTTGAAGACTTGGGAGACTTCAGTGCTGAAATTGTTCCTTTACCAGTTAAAGTAAGAATATTAAGCTTGCATTGAATATATCTACGTCATTTCCTCGCGGGGCATAAAGTATTTTATTCCACTGCACTTAGAGGGCCTTACTAACTTTTTAAAGATAAGAGCCCTACTAACCTTTCGAAGACTATTAACACTGTTGAGAGAGACACTCAAGAAAAGTTTGTTAATTTGTGTATTACTGAATTTTTCAACTTATGCATGTAACCATGGAATTTTTTATGCGGACCATTCACTTATTTTCAGGAACTCAGTGAGGCAATTAGATCACATAGTATGAAGGTAATTGTGGTGAAGAAAGGGAAACTGAAGCTTTATGCTGGACAACCATTAGCTGATGCTGAGATGGCTTTGCGCTCATTGGTTGAACAGGAATGAAGTCGAAAAATAGACCTTTTTCGCAGAAGAAATTCTGGGGATACTCACTATGGTGATGAGAAATTGAACCCGGTTGCACCAGATACTAGAATGAGGGATCAACATATTCTAAAGAGCATTTTTGTCTATAGGTTTTGCTGCACTTGCAAGATCTGATAGGATTTTCTTTTCTTTTTACAAGCCCCACCCCCCCTTTTTTTTTGGTCTATTTATGAGGCTTCAAGAATTCATGCAAAATTTTCTTGAGGTTATACCATTTTTTTTTTTTTGCATTGTTGGGTGATGAGAACATAGCAGTTCCCTTTTCCAAGTGGTTTTTCCAATATCCTGTTATCCCAGGATTAACTATTGGAATAACTTATACCACCATTTATCCCAAATACGTCAACCAAACTATTTATTCTTATTCCTCACACCAAACGAGCTGAAACATATGTGGTCTTTTCTTGAGCTCGAGAAGATGATAAAACGAGAGCCTATTTTATTTTTAGAAACATAACAATATAGTTAGTTACCCAGGAAAGGTTACATGTAAAAGATAACAATGAAGACTGACTAAACAAAAGCTTTTACTGCTAAAAACTTGAATGAGTCTACTAGGAGGAGGCAATTTTAACTATGGCCTGTGCATGAATAGCTGGAAGATTAGACTGGCAAAAGTCTTGCCACGCCTCTTGTTTCTGCTCTTCATCCTTGGTTAATGCCTCGTATACCGAAACCACGATACTTCTAGCTGCTTCTCTTGCCTCGGGGAGTCTATCATTGAGCAAATTTACAGCCATTTGAACCAACGAAACGAATCCAAACTCCTTCATCCTATCCAGTTCCTAACAACAGAAATGATACTCATTAAGTTTGTGCTATCAAAACGCTACCATGGTAGAGAAATATGTACAACACAACCAACCATCTTAGAAACACAATGGGATGTTGAGATTGCAGCTTTTGCTCTGATTCTCATGTTGGAATGTTTGACATAAGTATGAAGTTTATGAAACAAAAGAAGAGGAGTCATAGACTCCACCATTGCCTTGAGTGTCTTATCTGCTTCTTCACAAACAAACTTTTTATCTTGAGAAGCTTTCAGCAATAGCTGCAAAATCTGTTTTAAAAAACTGCATATTAACACCACTGCACAAGAACGTTAAACACAACTCGATAAACACTATACTTACCACATCATCAAATGCATCAGAAGTAGATGATTCAAATAACTCGTCACCAAAGGCTTTAAAGATATCAGCTGAAGCCATGACAGAAGTCTTGCAGAGAGCACTTCGCGGATTTTTCATCGATTTAACTATCACTAGTAAAACTTTGTCCCTACAATTACAAAAACCGCAAAAAAATAAATAAATCCATAAATCAAACAAAAACAGAATAATTCGAAGAGATGAAACTTACAGAATTGGCAACAAGAGAGCAGAGTGAAACAAAGCAAATCGCCTAGTGTCGTTCAGAGAGCGACAAATTTCCAACCAATCTTTAGATTCCAACCCTCCAACAAGTCCCTGAAATTCACAAAATCCATCAAAATGGTTATAAAAAAATTTAAAAAGGGAAGAAATTAATAGAATTCAGCCACATACATGGATTATACTATCTGGGTCATCAATGGCTTCAAGATTCTCAGATGGTACGTAATCAACCGCTGCGTCTCCGGGTGGTAAAGGGGCTTTGTTTTCGTCATTGACAACACAATCAGCCTGTTTCTGATTCTGGGTTACGACGACTTTTGCTTGCTTTTTGGGTCTTTCGATCTCGATTGGGAGAGCGTTATCGAGAGATCTGAGCGCCATTTGAATTCAGATTTTTACACTTTTTTTCTGATTTTTTGGAGGAGATGAGAGTGATTTATGAAAATAAAAAGGAAAATTTGGCAACGGTCAGTTTTGAATTTTTGAAAATGAAAATGATAATGAAAGAGGGACTTTTTTAACGGTCACTTTTTTTTGGGGAAATGTGACAAAGGAATCCTAAATTAAAAAAGTGAAGGGGGAAACTATATAATACAAAAGATTTTCCTTTTATTTTTTAAACCATTTTAAGTAATATATTGATAGTTATCATTAACAAATATTATTGCAAATTAAAAAAAATAATACATTTCTTCTATTGTCAGAGTTCAATACCCATTTCTTTTGATAATATTCATGAAAATATTAGTAATATATGCTTGTGTTTGCAAAAGTGACTTGGAATTTGGAAATATTAATTATGGTGGAGGATGGAAATTAATCAAAATAAATAAGAAAAAATTACTAAAATACACTACTTTAATTTATTTAATTTCATTTATTCCCTACTGGTGTATTTAATTACAAAAATCTTCTTTTTTTTCCCAAATGATATTAATTATATTTTATACATTAAAATATTTAAAAGGCAACCTTTACCTTTCCAAGGTAAATCAGATTTACCTTCCCAATGCATATTTACCTTTCCCCCAAAAATCACCTTTCCAAATTACCTACTCCCAGGATTTCTGCCTACCCCCTCCATCCCCAGAAAAAAACCCTCCTAAATTTTACTCCCAAGATTTCC